TTTTTTTCAGCCATTGAGTGCTGGTGATCCTCACTGCTGTTCTCCATCCGTGGATATCACTACAAGCACCACCATTACTTCTGGTCTCCATTGCTGCATGGTGTGCAGGGGACGTCTTCGATTATAGATTTATGGTGAAGACAGCATTACACTAATCAAAAACATACTGGCCTATGTGACAAACCATTGCCAGATCCTGGAAACAACCCGCTTTTAGCTTCCTGGAAGTAGCACAAAAAATACAGGTAACTTTGTACTGCTATACTGAATGAGTCATATGGCAAGCTCCTGTGGGTCTGGTCACCAGGGCTGGATTATTGGAGAGCCCAGGCCTTTCGCCTTGACCTTCTATGAGTATAGTTGTCCACACCTGGAGGTTCCTGGGCAGGATCACACCCTCCTTCTGCTTTTTCCTCTTTTCTATTCTTTCTGTTACTTTTTTTAATGCTTCCTTTTATCTCTTCACTTCTCTATGCCTTTATGTATTATGTATACGTCACCGAAATGCTGTTTCTATACATTATGTGCTCACCTTGTTTTTGTACTTTGTGGTACTTTATGTTTCATGATCACATTTTATGTGGTATATTATGATATGTGCTGCACGTAAAGAAAATAAAATCTTTCAGTGCTTGTTCACACCGAATGCGGACCAGATCTGCATGAGTTTCTGCACACGCTGTGCAGTGTGTTTTGCCACGTTTTTTGCAGCGTTCCGGGCTGTGTTTTTGTGCTTTCAGTGCGGTCCAGGGCATTTGCATGAGTTTTTTATGCGTTTGCATGCGTTCCAAAGCAGGAAAAATAAGGCTTGCTGCAGTTTTTTTACATGCTTTGCTACTCAACGCTGCGGTGTGAACAAGAGCCCAAAATACCATTGGAATACATTGGACGCAGTTTTGATCCGTTCTGTAACTGCTCTGCTCTGCTCCTGGAATGCACTTGGTGTGAACTAGCCCTCAATAAAAACTTTTGTATAACAGATGCATACTGATAATGTATGTCACTGGGATCTTCTGGGTTGACAATTATGTCACCTTGAGGAGGGGACCCTACAAGGCCCCAAAATGTTGGTATGCTTTTGACTTCTGTAATGCTGTCTTCACAATAAAGCTATGATGCATTAATTTGAAGTGCTGGTGATTTCGTGATCTCCCATTTGATAGTCAGCTCTATGGCCGACTGCAGTGAGTGACCCTACTGGGGAAGGGAATTTTTCCTAATTTCCTGTCCCTGTTAAACCAGAACAAGAACTGGAGGGAAGTGGTTGCCACTGGGAAAGGAAAGCATAGAGAGCAATAAACATTTTGACAGTTTTGCACTTTACTAAAAATTTATTTTTATTTTTATCTCTGTCCTCGTTGGAGAGATTTTTTCGTCACAGCCTGTCCTGATAAGCGGAGCCTCTGTCACAAAAGACATATGTGACTGCAGCCTAAACAAAGCGTTCAGACAGCTGCACCACACTGCTTTCCCGTCCTCAGTTCTTTACTTTGGCTGCATTGTAAAGGAGGTGCTGGGCAAGGACCAGGACTGCATACCAAGTGCCCTACCAAGTCCAGCACAAAACTTGTTCTGGGTCAGGTCATGTGGAATATCTATGCCTGCAGCGGTCACACAAAGG